AAAGCACTGATAATGTTACGAGGCAATCATGAAAATCAAGTCGTGCATTGGATGCACTTGCATGGATAAAGCGAAGTCTATCATAAGTAACCCAAATGTATTATGGTTGAATAGAACCATTTTAAGGGACTTGTTCGTGAAATTCTCGGCAATTTCAATATTGAACGAAGAGTCATAAATAAGTAGCAACTATTTTAATGCATGCAAAGCCTCAAGATCAATGCAAAACCCGACAGATGGTGCATGGATTGAAAAAAATTAGGACAGGATAACAAGACTTGTTAAAGGGTAAATTGGCAAAAAGAGAGTGGGTAACGTTTTTCAGGTTTTCTTATCAGTTTGTTTCAGTGCGTTATCTATGTGAGGCTACGGCCGTGCTAATGGAGGGGTTAGATATAGTTAGCAGTAGTAAAACAGTAAATGCACCAGTTTTTTACTATTCTCGGCCATAAAGGGTTGAGAGTTAGAAAGATGAGTTAGTTTAAGTAGAATGCAGTCCAAAAAACAACTGATGTTTGAGCTCTGCATACGATATACAGATTTGAAAACAATTGAGACACTGCGAGCTGCCTAATTTGTCAAAAACCTATCGTTTACTGTACTGGTAAAACCAATAGGAAGTTGAATTTTTTATTATAAAGTAATGTACCGCCTTCTCCATAGAATTACCACTGTGATTACTTACTTAAGATGTTGGGAGAACACTAAAAAAGTTTGTAAATCACGAGCCAGAGGCCGTCTTTCACTTTAAAGTATTGCTTTTTTATGCTTTCCAAAATCCTCATTTACTTTCTTTTCATCCAGCAATAGCCTCCCTAACTTGAAAGGGAAGACAAACAAACTTGATATGAAGCGGAACCGTGAGAGAAGATGCGAGTTGGTAAAGCTGCTGTTATTCAATTCAGTAGAATTTTCCGAGAAAAAGTTCGCAACATACTCTGATCGTGCTCGAACACATTTATTTAATTTAATTGATCTTGCAAACAAACAGTTTCATAATAGGTGGGCATTCCCACTAAGATCTTGTAATTGTGAAATAATACCTTTTTTTATGTCTTTTCTTAGACTAATGAAAATTGACAAAAGGTTTGCATGAATGAGACCTGGTGAAGATCGATCTGAAAAAAATTCAACGAAAAAGAAGCAACTAATAAAAAAATGATGAAAATAACCAAGATTCAAATTGAATAAACAATAACAAATTAAATATGAAGTGAAAAAGTTTCAAACTATGAAAATACTCAGTACCCTTGCAATAGTTTGAACAATCTGTTCTCCTTATGTTATAATCTTTTTCAGCGCTCTATCGCACAGGACGCCACGGAGCTTAAAGAAAAAGCAACAAACGTTGAAGACGCGCTCTCAGATGTAAACGGATTTCTTCAGCGGTTACAAGACCTTGCAGAAGAGGTCAGTATAAAGAATTAAAGGCAAATGCCAATTTCATGCACATTAAGTTTCCTCCCGTACGCTTCTCGACTAAAATTTTCTTTCTAGACGACTAGTTTTTTTTGAGTATTTCTGAGTATCTAATTCAAGCTTCGCTCTGTTGTCCTAGTATCTATCAACCCTCTCTTGAGTAGGAACTCCTTCTCTCTCCCAGGAAAAAGCGACGAAGTAGAGGTTACCACTCCTTGAATTACATGCACGTCTCCGTAAATTTCTTTTAGTGGCTCTGATAGCATTTCGAATGTGTCCCATCTTCCAGCAGTACACAACAGGTTTAGAGAAGAATTAATAAACATCAGTGTGAAAGAGTAGAACGACAAAATCTTGGAAACATTGTTAATTCCGGCAGTTGCCACCAGAACGAAAACACAAATTTTTGGCAAAACAAAGTAAACACACAGGATAAACAAAGAAAAAATCACATTCAATAGTTTTTCAGTTCTTTGTTCGGAATTTTAACTAGGTCTTTGTCAGCTAGCAAAAACGTTACTGCACACACACCATATTGCTCTGATTAAAAGGAGCTTTCAGTTCAAATTCAAGCAAAGTTTGAATGAATTTTTTCTTCAGTTCCTTAACCAAAGCAGGTGTTGCTAACTTTCCATAGAGATGTAATTGTACTTGGGTATTATTAGAGGCAAGGTTTCCATAGACACTTTTTAAGCTGCCCTGTTGAAACACACTGTATAAAGTTCAAACTATAATAACACTTAGAGATTCTATCTTCTTTCTGAAGTTAGTTAATATTTGCTTTAGTGAATTATAATATTGTTTACTTTGCTTCAGTTCAATTAAGCATGGTTTGAATTAAAAATGTAGCAATATTTTGAAAACAATCTCAAAAGCTTTGGTGCTCTCCTTTGAAGTCTTGAAGATCTAAACATAATTTCTAACTTAAATGAGTAGGTGAAACATAACATTGTCTAGACTTTCAACTCACGAAAAAGAAGGTGCTTTGTTGATCGTGCGTGAATATGACCAAGTGACTTAATTAATCTTTATGTGTGTCGGAATACTTGTATTGTCTGAAAATGCGTTCATGCGTTTTATCTGGCTGAATTGCTATCGCCCAATCATTGATGAAAACTGATGACGTTCAAAACAGAAAAATCTTTTAAGACGAAGAAAAACTTCTGTTGGCATACGGAGGGAGTTGCTCACACTGTTCAATGCAAGAGTTTATTGCCAGGAGATGAGATTTGGTAACTGGTCTTTACTATTTAGGTGCTGAATTCTTTTAGTTCTTAATCCTTTACACCCTAACCTCAGTAGGGATATTCTCCATACTGTTCTCTATACATTTCTTAAAGTGCAGACAAGGAGAATTTGTTAAACAATCAAAAGCCTCTTAAGTTGGCGATCATGTCCTTTATTCTCGTGACCTTAATGTTTGACTCGAAGGTGATATTGTTAGGAGAAATTAGATAACAGTCACTCTTACGGATCAAAGGGTTAATTAGTCAACAGCTTTGTCAGCTTTGGCCCATTCAAATTCATTACAGACCTTAAGGTAACTCTTCCCATTCATGATATACAATTCATTTTGATCTTAATCTTCTACAACTGATACAGCCTCAAAACAGCCTACCCGATGTTATCCTCTGGATGATCAGTGGCTCAACGAGAATTGCCTACCACAGGATACCAGCCTACCATGTCTTGTTTTCACCCAAGGAGGAAGCCTGTGGTAAATTTTGCGGCAAAACAATGGAGATTGAGATGAAGGTAATTCACCAATTTATTTAGAGGCGGGGGCAACATTTCCGTTTTAGCGAGTGAGTTTCAGAAAATGTGTGAAGTTTAGTTTTACTTATGTAATGATTTAATCATTACAAAGAAAATTCAGATATTTTAATTGCAGTGTCTATGCGAACGTAACCTTTCCCTAAGAGAATACCGCGGTCTTGTTAATCAGCGGTAGATACATATGTGATGCAAGACCAAAGTTCCCGGTAATGATGGGGTTACCATGTGATACAGATAACTCCCTCCATTTGTTCCCGAGCATTGCCTAGGTTCTTGGTACAGTTAATCACATGATTTCGAGAGGAATGTAGAATATATAAGAACGAATAATTACTATGTTTTCCAAATTGCAAAGGGACTATCATGTGTCCACCTACTTATAATATAAATGAAGAAATCTTGAGAATATTGAGCAGAAGCAAAACACTCGAATCACCGAAATAAGCCCGCAAATATACTGGAAGAAATCCAGTTTTTACTTGTATTTCATTAATCTTCTGATAGAGAAAGATGGTAAACATTTGTCATAAACAGGCACAGAAACAAACTTTCGTGATCGGATATAGTGCGAACTGAACTAAGAGAAATCTTTAGTGCGATATGCTACTGACAGAGTTCCCTTTTTTCCCCTTCTAGTACCCCGGTAAGAAGGCCCTAAACATTGCAGATCACCCAGAACTACCCGCAATCGTCCGAGTCGAGCTGTGGTTCGGACTTGAGCAGTATCAGAGTAACTGGACTGCGCGCGAGCAAAGAGAAGGCGATTTTGGCGTCTTAGCAGAAACGGTCAGTGCACTGTACGATTAATTCTGTGATTGCTAACGAAAAAAAAAATCTGACACACGTTCAGTTTTTCGAATGTTCAGTCCAGTGAAATATTCTATTCAATCGTAATTATAGCGCTTTTGATAACGAAATTGTTACTTCTTTTGCAGTATGAAAACGAAGTCAAAATTGGTTTTTGGACGAAGAAAGCCCTCACAAGACCAGGATTTTCGAATGCCAGTGGAGAGGTATGACTTCTAGCTTAACCGACTAAACGAATTCAGAATATCATTATCACAGTACTGATTTTCCTATTCTATCCCGTTTTTCTTTTCTGTCACTTACCTCATCTGATATTTGAGAAAAACGACTATAACATGTACTTTGCTGAAATCTGGTCCGTCCCTTTTAGATTACACTAGAACTATCATCTATTTATTCATTGTGTATCGTTGTCTCTTTGTTGCTTATTCCTATAGTTAACATACTAACAAACAACGAATGTTTCACATTTATACTTTCCTCCGAGCAGGCTGCATTTGTTCTTTATCCTGTAAGAATCATTCCAATAACTTAACAGTAACTGTTCTGTTTTTATGTTAACTAATTATTAGCTATTAATAGTGGTAAATATTTTGATTTTCGTCCTCAGCTACCACTACCAAAAAAAAAGTTTCAGGCCCCTGAAGGTTGGGAATTTGAAGGAGACTGGTACATAGCTCCGGAAATGAGGTCAGGTTTGTTTTTAACTTAAACGTTTCTCGCTGCCTTACTGATTCTCATTTTCCAAACATATTTCCAAATTTTTAGCCTGAAAAATTAAAATTACTTATTTTGCAATAAATTTGATCGAAATATTCAATCGAGCATTCTCTATATTGAAATTTTCAAGCTCCTTGCTGATTTCTTGATCAATTTTAAATCGCTACGGGTAGAAAATTTGCTGCAGGCCAGGTTACCCATCGTGCTCTCTTCATTTGAACTACTTATGGCTTACCCTTAAATTCAAAGAAGTGGGTAAAGAAGGCGTGTGAGGTGGAAGTGGTATAAATAAATTAGTCATTTCACCACTTATTAGACTCTATTTTAAGTCCCGATGCCTTCGGAAGATCAAAAATGAAGGTCTGTATTTCTCGTTGACAGTTTCATGAAGAAAGTCGATGAAATCGCGTCCATTAAAGCCGAAACCAGAAAATTTGGCCTTTGCTTTTGCATTAAACTGAGCTAATACTTGTTTTTTCGATTCCCCTTGCGCTTCTTCTATGGTATTCCTCGCTAAGTACCTCAGCACGATGTAATATTAAGTTCTTGCTTAATCTTCATGCTTTGAGAAAATGGAATTTCGCTGAGGAAGATCCGTGATTTGCGACTCTTTTTCGCCGTGAGCCGATAAGTTTCCTTCTCTCCCGACCTGCTTGTTCGTAGATTCGTCCATCACGCTGTTTGTGTGAGTTGCGGTCACTTGATCAATTTTGTTTCCAGCCAATTTTCTACCTGCCCACCTAATAAAGGGAATTGTTAAAAATGCTGTTTGGAATGAACGCATTCGCCAAGCATATAGAAACTGATTTGTAGCGGAATTGAGCAGCAGGAACAAATACTGCAGATCTCTAAACCAATGGATAAGAACACAGCTACATGAGTTACACAGGTTAATTATGTAGACCATCACAAGCGAAGGCACGCCACAGGCTAAAAATGACACGATAATAAACAGAAAGGACATCGTTATCTTCTGTTCACGTTTAAGATATTTTTGCCGATCACGGTTGCTTCTAATATGTTCAGTGTTCTTTTCATGTTGACGAATACTCCGATAGATACTGAAGTTCACAAATAGTAGAACAAAGATGCTAATCACGACCGCTGTATTGGCAAATATGAAAGCTAGAAGATAGAATCCCACTGCCAGGTATAGTAATGGAAGACTAAGGGAACACATCCACAAAACAACTGACGTTACGATTGTACTGGAAGCCTTTCCTCGTACGATGCGGTTTGATGTTGCCACTTTGTATCTGTTGACAGCTAGAGCCAGTATACTTAAAACTGATGCAGTTGAGCTCATAAAATATGATACATACACCACCCATCTAAGACCAAGGACAGGGCGTTTCAGAGCCTCGCTTGCGTGATATCCGACAAATACAGGCTCAGTTACAGTTCCAACAAGCAGATCTGCAATGGCGAGGTTGAGCACCAAGTAGTTAAAGGGAGTTTTGAGGTTTTTCGTCGGGTTCCACAGAACGGCCCAGCAAATAAGTAGGTTACCGGGTACAGTTATGATGCTTAAAATGGCAGATACCGTTGTTGTGGTGACAGAAGTTGCAAATGGTGCCCAGTAATGGTCACAGAGGTCAGACTGAAATACCATTATGACACAGTGGGAGAATCTAAAACGGAAAGAACATTTTCAACACATGTATTTTCCACACTTTTTGCAAAATCTTTGTGCCTGCAACTTAAATGACTCTTGGATATTTAGTTAAATCCAATGTAAACATTGTAGCCTCCATTTTATGGGCTAGAATTTCCAAATTTCCAAGTTACCCTCTTCATTTCTGACTGCTGATTGGTGCATTGAAATACCTAAGTCACGAGAAAGGAAGAACAATGGTTGTGATTAGTACTTCAACCAGCGAAAGCTGTAAATTTAATACATGACGAGGGCTCTCCCTGCTCCATCTTCATTGGTCTCTGAATGTCAGAATATTCCCAAAATGCCACGTTTAAGATATTTGTGTCTTCCATTGTTGCTCTCCAAATTTCAAGCTAATCCTTTAAAATTGGGACATCGAGAACCCATAAATTTTTTTTTAAAAACCTTAATTATTTTATATGTAATCATATGCCATTAAGAACAATTGCTGATCGGCAGCGTTTGTAATAAGGAAGCATTTTTTAATAACCTACACATTTCGCAATACTAGATGCGGCATTTATATAAGGAGAGGTACGAACGAAAAAAAGACACTGAAAAGAAACAAGCCATATCCAAGTAAGGAGGCCCAATACTTATACCTCGTCACTAATTGAATAATGCCATTTTTTCCTATTTGTTTTTATGTGTCTGTGCCAAAGTTAAAGTTATTTAGATATTTATTTCAGTCTTCATTCGCAAGAGGGAAACCACAGGTACCCAAGTTTGAAAAATTCAGTATTGAGTTGCGAGATTCGAGAAACATATTAGAATTTTGTCACACATTGCGTAAACCGACGAGCAGTTCAAAGTGCTACAGCACTAATTAAAAACTGTGTAGCTCGCCTTTATTACAGTATGGTGCAATACGTATTACAAATGCTTAAGTTATTTCTAACTGACGCCGCAGCTGTTCTCACAAAATGCGCCGTTATTACAAAATGCCGCAACCGTAATTCCAAAACTGAATGCGTAGGTTATTGCAAAATACGTCGCTAACACAAAATGTCGCAGAACATTATTTGTTGTGGAAAAATTCAACTCTTCATTACTTAATCAGCTTAATGAAAGAGAAAAATTAATTGATGGTAGGTTATTGTGTACCGATAGGTAACGACTGCCATCAACATATGATGTCTTTAATAAAAGATTGTAAAAAATGCATACTCCCCAACAAGGGGTTTCGCAGTATGAATTTTCAGGGAGCAAATACCCACTTACAAGAATGATAGTTAACAAAGTTAGTAACTTCAGAAAAAACAGGAGCGAAAGTAGAGTATTGAATTTGAATAACTATTGAATAGGATGCTTCGTGTGTTTGGAAGCCAT